CCTTGCGATGGATCGATCAAATAAAATCTACAGTGGACGGTCCTTTGCATGAATGTACGAAGGAGACCACTAACAGAGACAAAGATGGTTAGATTAAATAAGGCGAACCACATCAGCCCCTAACAAACATACCCCATGCCGACCAAGTTCTCTCTGTCAAGAGTGCTATGAAAAAGAATAATAACAATAATAATAATAATAATAATAATACTTTATTCGCATTAAGTGTGGTGTACATAGTTGGCTTAATATATAATATTTCTATTAACAGGTTCTCACACTTAGCTGGTAATAGCATGCAAATTTACCTTAAAATGAGTATATCTATCATAATTATTAAAATATCTTATACATTTAAAATAATAAGTCTCAATAATGTCAAATTTAAACAAATACCTAATTATTTTTGTAGTCAAAAAATTCTTTAATTGAGTAAAAACAACAGTTAGACAACCATTTGGATAACCTATTTCGGAACATTGTAATTGGCGTATTTTTTAAATCAATCGGTAGCGAATTATATATTTTGACACACATAGGTAATGTTGACCGGTACAGTAAGTCTGTCCAGAAACCTCGTGTTATATAAAGGTTCATGTCGTTTGACTAGTGAATAATTTTGCTTGACGAAGGTACAGGCACTCAAAATATAAATAATAGGCACTGTTAATAAATTTAATTTCTTAAAAAGTGGTCTGCACGAAGTTATAGGTGAAATGTTGCAAATCGATCTGATGCTGCGCTTTTGAGATATAAGCACTCTGTCAATGTTATATGAATTGCCCCAGATCAAAATACCGTAAGCAATCACTGAAACAACATATCCATGATAAGCCTGAAGAGCAACAGTTTGGCTAACAGTTTTAGATAGACGCCAAAGAGCATACGAAAAACGGTCAATTTTAGTACATACTTGGTCAATGTGTGAAGTCCAGGAACATCTACTGTCTACAATGATACCAAGAAACTCTATCTCATCACTACTGTTGATTTTTTGGCTATTGTATGCAATGTTCAAGTCTATACTCCTTGAGTTTACATTGCAGAAATTAACTGCCTTAGTTTTGCTTAGATTAACGTTTAAATTGTTCAATCGTAACCAATCAATTACATCAGCAACAGTTTTGTTTAACTCCAGATTATGAAATTCTCTGTCAACATTGGGAACCAGTACGGAAAGGTCGTCTGCATACAGTATGCATTTATGCTCTGTTATCGAAGGGAGATCATTAATATAGATCAAGAATAGAAATGGGCCCAGGACGCTTCCTTGAGGGACACCCATGTTAATTTGTCGCGGTTTTGACCTAAATTTATTTGTATCCCGTTTCTGAGTTAGCCTTGTCACCTCTACACATTGCTGTCTATCCTTGATATAACTGTTCAACCATGCGAGAGCTGTACCTCGTATGCCGTAAAAATCACATTTGTCTAATAGTATGTTATGGGACACAAAATCAAACGCTTTGGTCATGTCAAAGAAAATTCCCGTTGTGAGTGTGCTATTATTTAAATTTTCGGTAATACTATTAACTAACTTAAAAGCAGCAGTAGTTGTCGATCTACCTTTCTGAAAGCCGTGTTGGTCAGCATTTAGTATACTGTATTTTTCAAAAAAGGCAGTAAGTCTAATGTGCATAGCTTTTTCAAAGACTTTGCTAAGTACAGGTATTAGAGCAATTGGACGATAGTTATTTATATCCTTTTTGTCACCTTTTTTGTGAATTGGCGTGATGACTGTAAACTTTAGTTTATGTGGAAACACTCCTTCTGTAAATGAAATATTAATCAAGTGACTCAAAATTGGGGCTATGGCCTATAGCGGTAAATTTAATTACAGAAGTAGGTATTAACCAGACGATATAACCAGACGATTTGGTGTTGTTTAAGGACTTTATAAGATTTAGAATTTCGTTTGGAGTACTAGGGTAAAGGAAAATGCTGTGCGGCAACCTGTTCATCCCATTGATAGTTGATTTATTTATCACATTATTATTTGTAAGTTTTGTAGTAGGTGTGTCTATTAGACGATTACTGAATGCTTCGGCTATGTCAGTAGGATCATTTAATATCGTGTCATTATGAATAATACTTTCAATTATTTTTTCACACACATTACTCGGTGAGTCACTCTTTATAATTTTCCAAGTAGCTTTGCAAATATTTTTTTAATTTTTTAGGTAAACATTGTTGGCAATTTTTTGAGATTTATTGATGCATTTTCTTAGAATTCGAGAATATTTTAAATATGTTGTTTTTGAGTCCTGAGTACGTTGTTTGTAATACTGATATCTCAACGTACGCTTGCTTTGACATGATTTTTTTATTCCCGGTGTAATCCATGCCAGGCCCTTAGCATTTAAATTAATCTTAATTTTACGTTTTGGAAAACATAGTTCAAAGAAAGAAAAAAGAAGAAGAAGTTGTAACTTGCTTTAACTGAAAAGGAAAACATCGTGATAAAATTTGCATCTCTGAAAAGGGTCCCTTGGCTCGCGAAATCCTTGACCGGGACGAGGGTGATGGACAATAGCCTAAAGCCCTCTCCTTAGTGAAAATTCGTGGCTAACGATTGTACGCATGGTGATAAGTGACTTAACACTTTTAGAATATGATTTCTATAGCCATTATTAAGTCACACCACAGAGAAATCATTTCCTTTATACCTATCCGTTTGTTTCTGCGTTGTGTATTACTATTTCCATTAATTTGTCGCAATCTGTATTTAGAATGTCAATTGTAATAGTTTTTGTAACAAGGTTATTTTTAAAATACTAACAACCTCTCAGGACTATTTACAACATTATATAACCACATTTGTTTCGTGACTTTTGACAAAACATGATAAACAGGTGTACCAAAAGTAAACATTGAAGTTTTTTTTTGTATTATCTGACACTTTTTAGATCTGTATCTGGTAAGGTTGTAAGTTTACACGTGGAAATGTCCTCCCGACGTCTCCTGCGTTTTGCATAGAGTTATAATTTTTATTTTTATATGAAAGTAAAATCTGAAGAATTATTAAAAGTCATGGAACAAAAGTTGTTGACCAAATGACCCTGTACTATCCTTAGAATTGACCCTACAGTTATTTTTGCCACATTTGGTTGGTCAGGTTCCCTGATAAGGCAAGTAACTTTTAAAAGTTTTTGCATGCTATTATAATATCTACTTACTTTTAAAAATGAAGTAAAATGTGTCCTTGAAGCAAAATGTCTACAATAATTAGAGCATTAAATACAGTACGTGAGACGTACATCATCATGTCCTATCTTCTAGCAAAGTGGTTGGACACGAGAAAATGTTGGCAAATATTAATAGTTTCACAGTTAATTTATACTGCTCTACGACACATTGGTTTTTTGCTTAAAAAATGACCTTTTCTGGTGCTACTGGACTGATGGACTTTGTAGACGCAATTTGACAAATGGCGTTTTTGTGTCTTTTATTTAGATGAATTATGCCACTGGTATTAATCTAATAAGAAATCATTAATTTTCTCTTGCTCAGATGGTACATAACAATTTTATTCATAAAATTTTTGATGCAGAGGGCACCAAAAAATAACCTTGTAGGTTTTGCATAAGCATATCATAGGCGCGTACCGATGACTATTACGCCATCATGCGCAACGGCCTTGCTGCTCTGCAGACTGCAGGCTAGCGCCACCTCCATCCTGATGATCGTGGTAGGGAGATAGGATTATCCCATTATGCGCCACTTTTTCAAGTGCTTGTTAGCAAAAGGTATTTGTAAGAAAAAGAATTTGCTGACAAACACCATACCTATAAATATTTAGTATTATTTCTGTTCATGTTTCTTTTTCCTAACATAGACACTAAGAATACTGTTACTAACCAATGGATGAGCCTCGTTGTGTAAATTAAAGAAAAAATAAATTAAAGCCAACCTTGGCGCTAGTGGCTTGGGGACACCATAATACACCTCGTATTATGAGCTATTCTCTGACATTTGGAAGCTCAGAGCTCGCTCAGTCTGGTATGTGAACGAGACCCGTCAATCGCACCAAAAATTTCATTTAGCTTTTTGTTGGCTCGCCGTCTCGACGTCCATATTCTTCCATACTCTCCAAACGCCGTATGATTGCTGCACAGGTATTTACAGAGTTATGTCAAATTTATAAAATGTTGACAACTATATTTTTATTTCCTCAAAATCTGAGAGAGTTGCTTTCCATTTCTTTTTTTGACCAGTCATATTTATTATTAAAGATATTCTCATCTTTTGTAAAATAAAAGTATAGACGATAATAATACACGTTCAAAATATTAATATGTTGTAAGAAAACAAAATAACTTACAAACGGCTGTTAACAACGACTGTACTTCGACTCTTATTATGCAAAGGACGCATCCTTTTTTTACTCCTTTCAGTTTGTCTTCAGGGGTTTCGTATTCTTTTTATTTGTTTATAGTATTATGTTACTTATTTTGCATAAAAAAAGTTGTATCGAAATCATGTTTGGCATGAGGGATAAAGATATTCTGTAACACGCAATACACAAATTCACACGGTAACATTACTGGTGTCGCAAAATTAGCGTCATGGCTTTTGAAATTTTATCCAAAAATAGGTATTTATGTATAATTATCAATTAAAACATTATTTATATATCGAATATCTTCACGTTTTGTTACCCTGATATTCATTATTTGTGAAATAACACAATACTTCACTAGTTTGGAAATAAAAAATCCCATTCTGGGGCTACCGCGTTTAAACAATTGAGCTACAGACCGAATCAGCGATCATACGAATTTCTCTGTGTTTGTTACAGATATCTGTGTTGGGTTTGAACGGTACCGAGGCTATACAGTGAGACAACAGACATTGATTCGAGGCCAGTGGGATAGAAGGAATTTTTCTTGAGCCCGTTCGTTATGCCCCCGGTTTGTTATGCCCCTTTGGTGTATATCCCCGTTTTTAACAAATTTTGGATTAACATTTATTTTATTCAATTTATTTATTTAACCTTCCAGTGGTCGCGCGCGGTCTCAGGGACCGCAATGACCTTATTTTAGTCATTTTACAAAAACTATAAACCATAGATGGTTGAGCGACCATGATATCCTCGAGGAGATGAGGTACTGCTCCTTAGTAGCCCTGTGACATTCGTCGCAAGCGCACAGGTGTCTCTATTTATGTTTGCGGTTTCAGATTCCGCGCACGACCGGTCGTGTTCCAAAAAAATTCATGGAATGAAATTGAAATCTGGGTGAGTATTTAATGTTATTTGTACTATATTATTTAATAAAATTAATGTTAATTGGTGTCTATCTATACAATTCAAATTTTGCTATTGGCGCTCTGATTAGCTTTACTATATATATCTCAATGTTTATTTGGAAGAGATCACTGTAAGCAATAAGTCCGCCTTTGTCCACATTCATTGCTGTCTATGCACTGTTTTTGTTCTTGTGTGTGAGCAATAAAGTGTATATCTATCTATCTACGTATATTACAAAATTACATTATTTTATGTAATATTATACAACTATTTATTATTACACTATTTGTTGTAGACAATGAGTTACGTTAAATCAGAACGGTTTGCAGAGGAGGCGGAAACAGAAGATGAACATGATTGTGATTATGTTAAACCATTAATACTGATAAGGAATATCGTAGTACAGTCAAGAGCACGTCAAGCTTGACACTTTGTACTTGGTCCGTACTTATCGTAAGCGGCATAGAGTTGGATTTAAGTCTTAACTGTCAAGCTTGACGTGCTCTTGATCTTGTACATACTCTGAAAAATGTTTATATAGAAGTTTTTTATTTTGTTTTCCTTTTTTATTATATTAGAATTAAGATATTACGTAGAATATCATGAAAAAAACATTTAAAAATAATTATGCTTTTAGAGTTCCTACAAAATTGTGCAATTATTATTGATAATAATTTTGATTGGTCTCAGTAATAATTATGATGTCTATTAACGATTAAGATAGAAAATTTCATTTTGTTTTGTTATTTTCTTGATTTCTAATGTTGTTTTGTGTCATGTGACTAAAATTTTAATTTTTTTTTTGTAGACTGATTAATAAGTACAAATTAAAAAATAATAAGTAAATAATGTTTTTTATTTTCATTTATATAGACAAAAGACTTATTTTTATTATGTACTATACAACGTCATGATAATATTCATTTGTCTTCTCAAACTAAACGCGCAAAGTTGCGGTCTCACAGACCGCGCGCGACTGCTTATGTTCGGTGCAAGGGTGCGACCATTGCAAGGTTAAACATTTTATTGTGCCACAAAGTAGATTACAAATGTTCAGAAACAATTTAAATATTTGGGTACAAAGGCGCGCTTATCCCATAAAGAGATTTCTTACAACTAACCTTTGAAAACCTGAGAGGAAAGTTGGTTTTTGGAGTAGCAATAAAAATAGATAAATATAGAAATGGAATATACTACATTCAATAAATATACAGATAAATTTATTATAACAAATGTACATACGAATACATATATATTAAGTAATGTTGATACATTAATATATACAAAGTCCATAATAAAATGAATGCATAAAATAAAACTATAAATAGATATATCAAATGTAAATAAATATTTCATAAGCTCTAACATGTGGAGAGTCTGAACAATCCCAAAACTTCAAAAGAGCACCCTTGAAAACCCGAACCGAAGGCGACTGTCTGACCTCGACCGGGAGAAGGTTCCACATACTGGCAGCATTTACGGTGAACGAATCCGAATATTTTTGGAACTGTGTTGTGTAAGGACGAGAGACGAATCGTTGCCAGAACGCAGGCGGTCACCCATAGCCTGACGGTATTGAAAACGCTCACGTTAGATAGCTAGATGAAGTGGGATGGAACAAGATTTTATAGAGGAAGCATAAAATGTGAGCACTTCTACGTAAACGAATAGGCAACGACATCAACTCAAATGTGGTCGTACTTTTTCAATCCAAATACAAATCTGATACATTGATTTTGCAGCCGCTCCAATTTATTAAGTAGGTCCTCCGAAAGATCAAGATAGGCGACGTCATCATAGTCCAGAAAAGGAAAAAGAAGAGTGCGTATGAGTATAAATTTGGTAGACAGAAGAAGAAAGTACTGCAGCCGCTTGAGGGAATTAAGTGATGCAAAGATTTTACGACTTACATCGACGACATGCTTCGACCAAGAAAGTGTCTAATCCATTATGATGCCCAAATTTTAAACTGAGGTGGAAAAAGGAATTATGATGTCATTCAAAACTAAATTGGGCGTCACCATAGACTCTAACTAGGAGATGGAAAGGTGACTGCCAATAATTATGGCTTGGGACTTTTGTGCATTTAAAAGAAATCCGTAGTTCTTTGCCGATACCGAAATCATTTGTAGGTCGGAATTCAATGTACCGATAGTAGTAACTACATCCTCAAGACGGGCTGCAGTATAGATTTGAAGGTCATCGGCATAGAGATGACAAGAAGACGTGAGTGATGATGTAATTCCACCGATAAAGACGGAAAAAAGTATAGGAGATAAAACCCCACCCTGCTGAACGCCTGCCGTAAGGCTACACTAGTCCGAGTGCATGTCACCGGTCTTTACGAGCTGGGAACGATCAAATAAATACGAACGAAACCAGGATTCGGCTAAAGGAGGTAGATTTAATGTTCTGAGCTCAGCAAGAAGCAAATTAAAATCAACAGTACTGAATGCACTGCTAAAATCCAGTAAAGTGAGGACAGTAACTTTTTATTTTCTATATTGAGACGAAAGTCGGCAGTGATTTTCACCTGAGTAGAAACCGTGCTATGGCCCGCTCGAAAACCAAACTGCAGAAGGTGGTTAGTGAGTCGATTGTGGACATAGTGCTCAAGAATTTTTGGACAATACAGAAAGTATGGAGATAGGTCGATAATGGGAGAAAGAAGAAGGATTTGATTTTTTAGCGATAGGAATTACATGGACTTGTTTCCATTCAGTGGGAAACACACCACTGGAAAGGGAAAAATTAAGGATATGAGCTAGGATAGGAGCTACTAGGTTCCGTATTGGAGTGATCATATCAATACTCAAACCGTCATTACCAACCGCCTTCGTGGTTATAGACTTAAGTATTTTCAATACATCTGCCGTCGTAACCTTCCCAAAATCAAAAGAGTCTGAAGCAAGACAAGGTGCACTGGCCAGGACAGATAAAGTTCTAGATTTTATGACAGAATCTAAACGTACTGGGGAAGATGCAAAGTAGTCGTTCAACGCGTTAAGATCGACGTGACCAGCTTTACCGATACCCAGAGACTTCAAATATTTCCACATTTTAGTAGGCGGACAACCTTCGATAGTGGAGTGAATATGTTTACGCCTGACGTTCGTAGAGAACTTGTTGCAGCGGTTACGTAACTCAATGTAGGACCTACTATTGATTTCGCTTGGATTCCTCCGCAATCTGATACGTGCCCTGTCGCGCCTCTCCATAACCTCTTTGATATCTGGCGTGAGCCAAGCGGCGGGGAAGTGTTGGACTCGGACAACTTGAAGACGAGCATGACTGACAAAGATGGTCAAAATAATAAAGTTAAAAGCTTGAACCATTTCATTCTAGTGAAATTAGTTTTTAGTTTTTTACTTTTTTATTTCTAATCATTCCGGAATTTCAGAGACAGGTAATATTGACACTGTATGTAGAACTTGAAATCTATTCCTTTCTCTAGTTATAACATTAGTATTGCAGAAATAACATGCGAGTTCCACAATGTCTTCTTTGTTAAAAATCCGAGAGTATTTTGAAATAAGTTCTTCTTCTTCTACTTCTTCCTATCGTGGCTATACTTTCTTTGTTTTAAGATTATAATGATTTAGACTCTCTATGTTTGTTTTGGAAGCCACTCGTCATAGAATTCCAATTGCCTCAAGTTATTATTATTATTGTTGTTATTGTTGTTGCACTCATACTAGTTGTCCATTTCTGCCAATAAGATTTAATTCATTTTACATTCGTCTTATTTTACATTTTTTAATGGATCAGTACAGAGTACTAAAAAACCGACCTCAAAATTTCATGGAATTACATCTATTTGCTATTAGATCAATGTGATGCCGCCCTTAAAAGTGCCAAAGTAGGGATTTTCTTCAAATTTAAATGGACCAATACTGAGGTACCCTCTTCCCAACAAAAAAGAATAATCAAAATCGGTTCACAAATTATCCGGAGTTATCGCGTAACATACATACAAAAAAATACAGTCGAATTCAGAACCTCCTCCTTCTTTTGAAGTCGGTTAAAAATGGACGAACGCTTAATCAGTATCACGTCTGATATTAAGCGGTGACGTGGCCGTTAATGTTAAGCGTTTGTCCAGTAAAATGCCTATTCACTCCAGCTTTGAATAGCCTCAAATAAGACCCAATTTGGAATAAGCACATCACGACGTTGTGTGACGTCAGCCTATTGTTATATTCTGCTATTACCATAACTGTGAATAAAATGTTTTTGTTACCTAATCTGAAGAATTTATTGACACTACCGTAACCGTATGGTCAGTTTTTTTATTGCCTCTGTGGCCGAACGGTTAACATGCTGTTCAATTACGCAGTACCCGAGTTCAATTCCCGGACCGGGAGAAATATTTGTATGGCCTAAATTTATTGAGTAAAATTTGTGGTTGTCAATGCATGTGTACATAGCATCAGCGATAGAGGGTTTCCCCAGAGCGGGTCTATGAATGTGTGCGTTATTTATTATTATAAAAATAATAATTATTATTATTGTTTTATATTTGTGACGTGTACAGTCAACATCATGCTTGGGTGCACGAAAGGAGCCTCCTCGCAGTAGCGTGCTATTTATATCCTCTATATTCGCATCTTGGGCAACAATTGACGAGTACAAACACGTGTATGTGTGTGTATGGCACATCCTTTCATCCCACACTTCAACATGGCGGCCATTACTAGTGCCGTAAGTAGAGGCAATAACTTGTAGTCCATAATAATATAGTTTTCTTTTTATTATACCAAATCGTCAAAAAAGGAACGTCTGTTCATAACAGTTGCAGCGCCTCTCAGAACTTTAGGGGTCGTATTCTAGAACTCTACTCAATGTTCAAGTCAGTATTTGAGTATGGTTTAAAGCACTCGAAATCATACTCAAGTCCCTGCCATTAGGGTCGTATTTCCAGTGCTTGTGTTTCCAGTGCAACCCTGACTTGAGCATTGAGTAGAGTTCTAGAATACGACTCTAAATCACTAAGGTCTGAGAGCCAACAACACTGCCACTGTGCCCGTCACCCTGAGACATAAGTTGACAAGTCCCATGAGCCTATAATTTCACCAACGTATATAAAATATTTTCCCTGACTGAATATTATGTATACCGTCCAGTTGCCGCAAATGAAGAAGAACACCATACTCAGCTTACACTTGCTTGAGATTTTATTAGATAGTACGGGCATAGAGTTAAATTTCAAATGTAGTTTTCATCACGTAATTTTCTGATAATCTAGGTCGCATCTTTGTTCGTTACAGTAAATTGAAATATATACCCCACGTCATATTATACCACATTTTGAATAAAAGTACTCTAGAGTGAGCAAATAGGGATATTTCAGCCCGTATGAACACATTAGTAAGCACGCAAGTCGTTTTTCACGCGGATATTGGTTACATTTTGGGTAACTGGGGTAATACTGACCTTCTATCCCAAAAGGCGTGGAATCGCTGTTAGCGTTGAATATGAAAATATGTTTGTACGTTCCATTATGTGACGTAATTAGTTCAACAATTCACCTATAAATTATAATGATAAAAGTTGTTTATTTTTCTCCCAACAACTACAAGATGTTGGTAATACAATAGAAGTGTAAGGTTCGGAGACAGGAGCCCAAATTAGATTATACCTGTGCTATGAGTCACCTGGCCTCCAACACCTGGATTGCAACTACCGGTCGGTTCATGGCGTAAGGTTGGAGTTAGAACGCGCTTTCGAAGTGTTGAAAGATAATAAATCTCAGTCTTCAAATTATATATTATAATATAAATGGGCTACTGCTGAGGTATCCCTTTCTAACAAAAAAAGAATCATCAAAATCGGTTCACAAATTATATGAGTTATCGCATAATATACATACAAAAAAAAGAAATACAGACTTATGAGAACCTCCTATTTTAAGTCCATTAATAAAGATAAGAAATACATAGGTACATTACATATTTTCTTTTATTTTGTAAATATATTACATACAAAATCAAGCTACTAACATACTCACAAAAAAGAGTTATTATAGGAAATGAAACTAATTTTCCGGATTTAAATCGCATATATTTGTTTTTTCAAACAAACCGACGTTTCGGGCCCTTTGCAGGTCCCATGGTCACGGTTTTAAATCGCATATATTTGTTTTTTCAAACAAACCGACGTTTCGGCCCTTTACAGGTCCCATGGTCACGGTTGACTGAGGTTATGTCTAATATTAATACAAACCACCCCATTTTTTACTATAGTTACATTAGTTATTAATTAAATACCTTATTTTTAAAGTTACAAAGAAAACATTCCAATTTACGCTACATTAAGTTTTAATATGAAGCGTAGTATTCGTACCCGCGTCAAAGAACGTATAGTTGATGTCAAACACCGTCGCGTAAACAAGTCTGCAGTCTGCGAGCGTGTCATGGATAAACCTACACATTCAATGAAGTTTGACAAACCCCAGGTCTTTGCAAAAGAAGTCCGTTATCTACCCAGGATGCTGCGAGAGGCCATTGAAATTAAAAAACATCCTAATTTCACCAAGGAAGATGGTTTCTCCGTACCACCAGTTTGGGATCCAGTATTTCCTCTGATGAAAAATCCCAAACAGACATACGACTGCAGTACTAATAAATTTTTTAGTTTATTCTAATTTCTATTATTAATTATTAATAAATTGAACTTAATAAAAATTCACTCAATAAATAATTTGTAAAAATTAATGTAGCGTAAATTGGAATGTTTTCTTTATAAAATTAAAAATAAGGTATTTAATTAATAATTATTATAACTGTAGTGAAAAAATAGGGTGGTTTGCATTGATATTAGACATAACTGGTTGAAGACTGTACCACCTCAGTCAATCGTAAGCATGGGACCTGTAAAGGGCCCGAAACGTCGGTTTGTTTGAAAAAACAAATATAGGTACGCAATTTAAATGCGGAAAAATAGTTTCATTTCCTATATGTAACAATCGCGAAAACCTAAGAACTCGAAGAGTTATTATATTAACATAAATTAATCAATATAATTTGTTATATAATAAGTGTGTGTGAAAAGTATAAATAAATAAGTGCTGGGAAACGTTAGGAACGTTCCTCTTGATTTTCCAACAGGAAAGCCTGAAGCTGGCGCTTTAAAAAATTCTACTATACATCTTACGAAGAGGATGGAGTAGATCATTTTCGCCGAACGAAAAGATGTTGAAGCTGACGTCAAATGTTTTGTATGGTTACGAGTGCCTTCAGTTTTCCTTTTATGTACAGTGGCGCTGTCAAAGCCATGCTCTCCTATATCACGCCTTTTAGGCGGAAGTGTTTAGTCCGCATCCTATGAGGAGATGCGTGCTTATCTGAGCTCCCATTGGTCCATTACGAAACTCTACCTTTTGTCTGGTGGCGCAGCCACCAGTCAAGATTATCAGGGGCCACCTGCTAAATGTCTTGCATTCGGTGGTTTATCAAATATTTAGTAGCAGTAGAGTTTCTTCAGAAAGAGTTCGTATGCCACCTTACCTATTTTTTTATTTATTACTGTGTTCCGATTTTGAAAGCTTTAAATTACATGCACGTAGGGCTTGTCAACTTATATCTCCGGGTGACAGACGCAGTGGAAGTGCCCCTGCGATCTTTGCGATTTAAAGCTCTGAGTGGCACTGCAACTGTTATGGACAGGCGTGTAGCTTACCATCAGGCGCACGACTTGTTCATTCCATCACTTGATATTATAAACAAAAGGATAATAAGTTCAAAAAGTGCGAAAAGTTTACAAGACAATTGTTTGATTAAACGGTAGATTTAACGCCAAAAAGAGAGAGATGCCGCCATGTTGTCTCTCGACTTTCGTGGTTAAATGCTAAGAGGTTCTGGTACATTAACTGCCTCTGTGGCCGAACGGTTGCCATGCTGGACTGCCACGCAGAGGTCCCAGGTTCGATTCCCGGGCCGGGAGAAATATTTGTATGGCCTACATTTAATTCTCTCGTGAGTTTGGGTGTAATTTGTGGTTGTCTATGTGTGTGTCCATGGCACCCACGACACAGGGTTTCCCTAGTGCGGGGCTATGTCGAGTGTGTGCGTTAAAAAAAAAGGTAAGGTAAGCGTTTTCTCAACTAGGCTATCCGTGTGTTTCTAAACATACGTTCATTAATGGTTATAAATTATATTGTAAACGAAATTCATATACCTGTAGAGGAAAATCTAGTGCAAAATAGATTTTAAATACACGGAAAATTTTGTTCAGCAAAATATTCAGTTACTGAGTTACCTCTTTGTTTTTCCTGTGGTAATGTTGACACGAGCGCGTAATAATAATAATCACAAGTAATTTATTGATATTGTAATTAACCGCATAAAACGTAAATTGAATACACATATTCCCTGTCCTCTGGTTTAATAAACAATTACAACTTACCTAATAGAAAATGAAACTATTTATCCGGTTTTTTTTAAAGCACACACTCAACACAGCCCCGTACTAGGGAAACTCTGTGTCGCAGGTGCCATGGACGCATGGACTTTAAGAATTGTGCTGAACATTCTTATATCACTAGATCTGTTAATAATTAAGAATAGATTGTACCCAGAACCGTAAATTACTTTTCATATATTACCTGTCATGTATAATTATCTGAATGTTGACGAAGATAATTTATCTAAATTAACTTTTAAAAAGAAAGCCAGAAATAAATTGTTATTACAAATCTCAGATGACTGAGCTTTATACTATTTGTTCTGATATTTATGTGAGTGTATTTTATGGCATACGATAGCTAAGGTAGGCATACATATTATAGGTTTATTGCTTACGATGAGAGTGTGTCTCCGCACATAAACAGCTCTGCAGTTCGGCGGGCTTTGAATTTGTAGCCAAATGTACTTTTTTTGGAATAAACAATTTATTATTATTATTATTATTACACATATAGACAAGCACAAAGTACACCCAAACTCACGAGAGAAATAAATGTAGACCATACAAACATAGTTTTACACATTTACGGTTGACTCGAACCGTAACGTTGGTTTGTTTCAAAAACAAATAAATGCGATTTAAATCCGGCAACATAGTTTCATTTCCTGTGTGTAACAATCGCGAAAACCTAAGAACTCGATAACTTACCTAATTTTACTTAATATACCAAATGCTACGGTAGCAATGGCGAAGCTGGTTCAAGTCCAGCCGGAACGAAGGAATTTTTGTTTGTGCTCGATCTTTATATTAATA